TAGGCACATTTGGGCCTACTGTGACTATAACACTTGAGTAGGGGTGAGCAAAGGGCGAAATCAAACATGTTCGCATTTGTCCTTGCACGAACATGGCCGTTCGGTGAACCAAACAGTGTTCGGCGTTCGCCTGTGAAGGCGTGTTCGGACGAACCTCGAACAAGTTCGTGTTTGAGACGGAGCGTTCTGTAGCAGCGCCACGAGCACGAACGTATTCGGACGAACCTCGAATAGTGTTCGGCGAACAATTTTCGCAAAAAATCAAAACCTGTTCGGTTCGCCACGTGTTCGTTTCTTTGCTCACCCCTACACTTGAGATCCACCCTGAGCTTTGTTTTGTTTCTTCTCTAGACTGGTCTTATGACCACTCACTTCTTGATTATTGTGATGCCCCTCATTTATGCTATGGCGGTGTGTCAAAGTTTTATTCGTACCGTCATCGCCCGGATAGTAGACAGTGTTGAATAGTAGACAGGGGTTTTCTATTATCTGGGTGTCTCTTATAAACAGGCTAGCCTCATTATAAGACACCTATTTATGTGTACGAGATAAGACATATATGTCTTATAATCACAACAGGGGTTTCGGGGTTTTCTTATAATTAGGGGGTGTCTTCTAAACGGTAATTAGTTACGTTAGGGGGGTACATGTATACATCTATGAATCTCTACTTTTACCTAGCCCTCCTCTATCACAGCCTCCTCACCTGCACTAACAGCAGGCTCCCTATCACCTAGGTCTGGCACTCGCTAGGCATGCCTAGCCGTCTCTCTAGGCTCGATCATGCGGTCAGCCTCAGCCGCCACTCCGTGGTAGTTGGGGGTCTCTTGGTATAGCACATCCAGGCCGGTTGCCGCGGCCACCTCCCTCACGCCCTCCGCCTGCATCTCCTCCTCCTCCTCCTCCTCTGGAGCCTGCCCAAGCAGGCGCGTGTTGTCGCCCGTGGTTCCCCCGAGGCACATGTCCTCGGAGACATCGGTGGTGCTCCTGGCGTGCAGGTGAGACATCACCAGGTGGTTCTCCGTCCCGTCCAGCTTGCTTGAAATCCCACAGTGGCGGAACGCATCAATGATGACCTTCTTAGGGACTTGATCCCATGCCTCCACGATCCACTATAACAACACGGGGTGCGGAGGCCTCCACAGGTTCCCTGCGGGTGGGACAGAGGCAGGGGTAGCGAGCCGTTAGAGACATGGAAAGAAAACAGTGCACAAGTTTAATTCAAAAGGCTACTCACCCTTTTTCGTCTTCAGGTGAATCTCTTCACGCATGAACCACCTGGCGTAGCGCGCTCGCGCAGCAGCCTTGAAGCACCACTTGATGGAGACGTCAAGGGGTTGAATCTGGCTCGTGCGCACCACTAGGATCACTGTAGGGGTGATGCTGTGTGTGCGGTAAGCTTGAAGCATGGTCTGGGTGATGTGGCCGCGGTAGGAGTCCAGCACCAGCATCGAACGCCTTGCGTTCTGGCCACGTTGGAAGTTCAGATGGGGCAGCACCTCCTTGGTCAGCCAGGTCTGCACAACGCTCTCGTCCATCCACGCGTTGTCCTGTGCTTGGCATACAATTCCTGCCAGGCACATAGGGAATAGACGGGCATCAGTCAAGGAGTGCAAGCTCATTAGGCTTACGGCTCCCGGATTCCTTGAGCTTACCTTCCGAAATCTCACAGCTGGGCACGTTCTTTAGCTTGAACCAAACCCAAGGGCGCAGCTTCTCATATGCGGTGCATGCGAGCATCACCGTGAGCTGCATCTTCTCGCATCCTGCAGTGCGGGTTGGGACCGAGCGCGCGCCACGGTGCTCAATCGTCCTCTCGGCCGGCATCTCAATGAAGAGTGGCGTCTGGTCAGCGTTGATGATGCGGGCCAGGTCGATGTTGTGCCACGCCCTGTTGATGCACACGAACTTCCAGAACGACTCGCGATCCTTAGTGCACTCTGCAAAGGGAACACACACCACGGCAAGAGGGGATGATTAGAAGCAAAGGGCAAGGAACATGCAGTCAATCATCGAGCGCGGATTCAAGGCCTTGAACACTCACCATCTGATAACCGTTGGCCGGCCTTGGTCTTCACACGCATGACCAGGTTCCAGCGGTCATAGAAATGCTGGCTCCAGTGAGAACTCACGTTCCAGTTCTTGCTGGGGTGGTGTTTCTTCATCCACTTGCGGCTCCACTTCTGGGTGTCTTTCACCGAGATCGCCACCTCATTAGCGCACTGCAGGCAGACGTAGAGGTACAACGCCGCCTCCATGTCGGGGCAGTGTGCGTGGCGCCCCCCCCCCCCCCCCCCCCCCCGTGCTTCTGCTTGTAGCAGCTCGCCGCTACTTTGTAGACGCCCGTAGCAGCCTCTGCACTCTAGCGTCTGATGCAGGCAATAGATGCGGTAGATTCCAAGGATGTCTTCTTCAAGGTGCCGAGCTCTTGGCAGCGGCGCGCCCATTTGAGCTTCCTGCGTACGGTCCATCCGCGTCGCCTTTACTTATTGTCATTGCTACGAGGGGAAGGTGGACAGGAGTTGGGATTATGCAGGGTAGGGTCTTTTGGCTTGGCCTTCTCAAGGGAAAGGAAGAATCGGGCCTGCTGCCTCCGCGTAGTCATCATCGCTGCCGAGCGCCTCGTTGACCACGATTTCGTCCTTGTTTGGTGTTTTCTTCATCTTCGTCTTAGCAGCACCCGTGCTGGATCCGGGGTTGCCGTCGTTCTTCCGCTTCTTCCTCTTGTGCGGCGACGAACGGTGGCCTTAGCAGGGGCTTCCGCGACCTTGGTTTTCCCCTTGTCTAGAGCAGTGATGCGCGGTTGACGCTCCTCCCCCGGACTGTCGTCATCAAAGAGCACCACGCGAGCACGCTTCCGCTTAGACTGTAGGCGATGACGCAGCCTCCGCCAGTAGCGGAACATCGTCGTCACCCGTGATGCTCCACGGGTTGTCATTGGAGTTTTCACCATCAAAGAAGACAGCATCAGCACTTCCCTCCGCAGCATTCGCATCCGCATCCGCAATTGCGGCCACATCCGTGGGCGCAACAGTATCAGCATCCGCTTCCGCCTCCTCTTCCATCCTCGCTTCCGCATGCGCCTCGTCGTCAGCCTCCGCATTTGTCAGAATCCCAACCACTAGACCATTGGGATAAAAGGGCTTGTTTCAGTAGCGGATCAGTGCGCCCATAACCCCCCAGGCGAACGCGCCTGTAACCCTCTCCAGGATCAATCGGGCATCCACAGTGCAGATCTACTGACACTCCCCCACACTGGAAGGCCCAGGACTAAGCACAGCGGCAATGGCCTACATGTGCATACACCGGGAATCGAACCTGAGACCGCTCTGATACCATGTCATAATCCCAACCACTAGACCATTGGGATAAAAGGGCTTGTTTTAGTAGCGGGTCAGTGCGCCCATAACCCCCCAGGCGAACGCGCCTGTAACCCTCTCCAGGATCAATCGGGCATCCACAGTGCAGATCTACTGACAGCATTCACATCCACCATCGCTCCTGTTGCATGCGCCGCTGCCTCCGCATGCTCACCATCAGCATCGGCACCCTCGTCGTTGTCTGAATCACCAGCCCGCCACTCTTCCACTTCGTCGTCACTCCCAACCGGCCGATTCCACCATTTGTCCTCGTTGATGTTGGCAGGAGCTATTTCATCCCCCAAAGCGCCGTCGTCATGGCCGTTCTCCGTCCAATCCTCCTCGCCGTCGCTGCCGTGTTCTTCGTCGCTTTCGTCGCCGTCGTCCCCGTCACAGCTCGCACTGGAGGCGACGGTAGATCTTCCCGCTTGCGCGTATTCTTCGCCATGGCTACACGGATGTCATCACTGGGCGAGTTAATTTGCCTGTAGTTATTCACCTGCACGTGAGGGCGAGGTGAGGACGTACCTGTGGGGACTTTGCTGCGCATGGTTACGGTAAGCCTGCCGAGAGCAAAGGTTGAGTTGAGATCTCAACCTCCTTAAACACCAAATGAAGCTCAAGCCCGACTACCCCCCCCCCCCCCCCCCCCCCCAAGCCAGAGTGCCCCTTCCAAAGGTGCCGAGCCTCCTCTATGAGGAATCTCCTCGTAGAGAACAGCCTTCACGCTGCCATCGTGCTGCCAACAGCGTTCCGGAAGCATCCATGCGCTGCTGGCAGCATCATTAGATGATGCCAGCACGGAGGGATGTTGCCAGCAATGGCAGCTTTGCTGCATCCCTTACTTGGCAAGTAGAGGCGCTGCATGCATCACCACTGAGGTCGTCCTATTTCAAATATATAATGGTATGGTACTTGGGTGGTTTCCACACACTTTGCAAATGTTATAGAGTTCTTATATTTTTTTCTATTTATAAGATTTATAAGACACCCTAAACCATCCCATATACAAGATAGCCCAAGCATTTTGAGTAGTGTACGAGATAAGACATACATGCCTGCTATCCGGGCGATGACGGTAGTTGTTAGTTTTTCAGTTAGCCTTTAGTGAGGTGCATGTTAGGGGATACACATTTTCTCTCACTCTATGCTTGTATCCCTCCCCTTTCACCTACCGCGTCTTCCTCCCAATGCAGCGTCTCCAACAATGTCACGACCTCCCCAACATTGGTTGATGTGTGGTAAGCTGATTCTGTGTTTATACAGTTGTTTGAGAGCAATTTGTTTATCTGAGTGTTTCCCCTAAATAAGACTAATACCGTAAGACACCTTTCTCCCCCCTTATCAGATGAACCACCATTATCTTAGCAATATCCCGTTATCCGGGTGATGACGGTAACTCTGTTCACACACTGATCAAGCTAGGATACCACACAAAAACGCAACAAATATCCCTAAAACACAGTGCCCAAGTTCGAGGGAGGGAAGGAGAGCGGGAGGGAGTTGGGGAAGGAAGGGAGAATAGTACAAACTTGGCGAAATAAAACCCATATCACAGACCTCTGTGGTCTTCTGTTGCAGGGGGTCTGGAATTTGGGAGATTACGGAACTTAAGGCCTCACCCACCTAATGCTAAAAGAGTCAATACGGCACACAAATAGATGTAACCCCTACGGTCTCGGAGCATGCCTTCTCATTGTATTCAGTAAATTTTGCAGCTGGTCCAGCTTTAGCTCCACCGAAGAAGCTGAAAGCACCTTGGCATGTGAGCAGTGGTGAGACCACCTTGAGCCTGCCCACCTTGCAGGTGTTAGTATTGATGGACTCGTACTCGGCCTTGAGACAAACCTGGATACAAGGTGGATACAGCGCAATCGAAACAATTGGAATTTAGAATGCAAGGGCTAGAAGAACACATAAAACTGAAAACCTACCATATTATCTGACATTGACCTTCCACCCCTCACCTGAGTGCTGGCAACAGTAGCACTGGAGGCAGGGGTGGTGCGGGGGCAGATGAGGCCGGGATTGTTGCGGTAGAGACCAATCCAGCTGGCTGCAGTCACCACTTCAGCTCCTGTGTTCTTATCCCCACTAGAGTCCTTGCTCTGCTGCAGCAGGCTCTCGCACGTGTCCTGAGCTGAGAGCATGCCGTACTGCAAGCAGCGAGGGACGGTGAAGGCGAAGGTGGCGTTGCGCTCGATGCAGAGAGAGCGGCCCGCCTTGATGGGCTCAAAGCAGTCCAGGCCGGGATTGAGAGAGGCAAGGTAAGTCGATGCGAGTCCCAGCTGGACGCTGATAGAGGAGCAGGTATCACCCTGGAGGATAAAGTGGGGGAGAGAGGAGACAAGACGACTTAGTGCAGATGATACACGTTAACAATGGGTCGTCTCCAGCTACAGATGACAGAGATAAAACTTCCTTTAAGAAGGTGAGAAGGTTGGGAAGAGTGGGAATTGGATAGAGGAAGGGTTTTTCCTTCGAGCAAGAGTAATATATTCCGCTTCCTTGGTCCAGGCTCACTTTGAGGGCATAGAAGAATGCAGTGCAGGGGGTGACGCTTCCCACCCCAATCACCTTGCCCGCAGGCAAAGGCTGGCTGCAGTTAATGCCCTGCATGTGAAAGAACATGCAAAACTGATTAGAGATAGAGTGTGGTGGTGGATACATCAGAAGAAGGGCCTCAACATTTGGAGACCACCAGCCCTACAAGCCTATTGTAAATGTGTACCGTTGCCACCACTCAACTTGTCGTTTCAATGCAAGTGCGCCCATGACTTGCCCCTCTCACCATGTTTTGCGATGCAAAGCCAGCCAAGGAGATGCCAGCCGCAGGGAAGACATCCGAGCACAGCCAATTGGCGCCAGTGACTGTCAACATGGAGGCCGTGGTGTTGGCTGGAGCAAGGAGAGGAGGAAGGAGGCCGGTACAGAAGAGAAGGTGTGAAGAGAATGCAGAAGATCATAGATCAAGTACTGAGGAGGGTGGATCTACACGGTTATAAAAAAAGCAATGTAACAGCACCTGGGTCGCAGGTGGGGAGGTTGTCAACGGTTATGCTGCCAACGTAGTTAGGAGGACAGATGCAGGAGTAGGCACCCTTGCCGTCATTGATGCATGTCCCCACAGCGCAGGGGTTGCTAGAGTAGGAACCGCACACATCAACTGTTGGATTTGCAGCAGGGAGGACATGCGCGGCAGAGGAGGGATTGATGGTGGGGGAAACGAGAGGAGGGAGGGCGGGGAGGGGAGGGACGGGGGGGGGGGGGGGGGGGGGGGGGGGGGGGGGGGGCGTGGAGGACACCTGCGTTGAGATTTAAAGCATTCAAACGACAACCTGCCAGCATTTGGAAGGGCAGATGAAGGAGCAGACGCCCTGCCTTAAGATCCAGATATGATGAAAGAGGTTTACATTTACCACCATGCCATGGATGCATTTGAGGATCTCCAAGCGTACCGCAAGGGAAGAGCAGTACGCGTGAAAACGACTCATGATTGGTTCAGAGCGACATGTTTAGCCACAAGAACGACTCACCATATGCACAAGTATTGGAGCCAGGCCCAATCGGAACTGCAACAAAGGGCTGCTCGGTTTCGTTCGGTATGGTGCAGTTGCAGGTGTTGCTGTTGGTCTTCGTGTTCGCCTGGCATGTGAAGCGACCGCACGGGTTCATGCTGGGCTGCAAATCCCCATTGCCCTTGTAGCTCTTCTGGCCGCAAGGGTCCTTGGGAACTGGAAAGGTAGCGTGTGTGAAGAATGGGACAAGCATGTAAGTGGGCCGAATTCAAAACTGTGAAGGTGTCTCTGCCCGCTGAGCAAATACAGAAAGTATTCATATTGTTGCAAACACAAACTAGTGGCAACGTGGTGCATGCTTCACTCCTGACAATGGGGTAGATGCCTCACTCTTGACAATGGGGTAGATGCCTGGCAACACGTTGATGCCACACACACCATCCCCTCCCTGAATGTCCATGCGCATGTGGCCCCTGTCTCCCCACTCCAATCCCCACGAGTTGCGGATGATCCAAAACGGTGGAGCAGTTTGGCTCGGGCGGCCGTTATTTGTGAAAAGGAGATACCCAACAACGAGTACAGCATGGTCCAGGTTGCCAGTGTAGCAGGCAGGATCCTGGTACTTGAAAGTCTGGAGGAGAGAAGGAGATGGTGAGCACAGGGAAGGTAGACACAGATGCGGTCATATGAGACATGCGGTTTCCTATATCGGTTCCATGTGGCCACCAATAGGAGCACCCATGTCAGTTGAAGGTCTTATCGGTTTCAAGAGAGGAGGAATTGAGCCTTAGCCTGAGGCATGACAAGGACTTCCCATTGGCATGCCTACAAGGAAACTTGCAATATGACCACATGATCAGAGTATCAATACTCACCCCGTCGTACTGTACAAACGAGGTAGAAGAGGCTTCAATGTGAACCACCACTGGCTGTCGTCGCACTGCCAGCATGAGCCCTACATGACCCTTAAACCGCGTGCGCTCAAATCCCTGGATGGGGTACTTCGATGGCTGGGGAGCAAACAGCGTATAATGGGAGATAAATGAATGAGTGGTCGTAACACCGCAACCAGAAAGAGGGCTAGAGATTTGGAAAGGAAAAAAGGAAAGGGTTTAAAGGTGACGTGCAAAGCCTGTTAAGAAGCAAAGTTTGCATACACAGCATGCATACCAACCAAGGGTAGATTCAAATGCAAACTTGCTGACCTCACAGCCAAATGTTTCTGTCCACTTGCTGTGCTACCCGTGTATCTTTTTCTCAAGGGCACTGTCCGCACATCTACCTGCATATACTGTTATGCTGCTGTCTACATTTTGGTATGGTCACTCGATTATGCTTGCACAGGGTTTCTGGTTTACATTGGTCTCTCACTCAAAGCTCGTTCCTACCGGCTTGCTGTCTGTTGTGAGTCCACCAGCGGGCAGAGTGATAAGCCTTTCAAAGGCCGCGGCAGGAGAGCCGCCTGCCATGCACTTGGCAGTGAGGGAGGTGAGCCCCATGGCTGCAAAGAGTGAGTCCACTGACAGCCGTGGCGCCTCACTGTTCAGCGCAATGCCGTACGCTGCCTCCACACTCGCCACCACCGCATACGCCCAACTCGCACCTGAAAGGGAGATGCAACACAGAAGTTCATTGAATAAAAAGGAGTATCACTGATACAGAGAGAGTGCCAGCAGGGTAAAAAGTACAACAAAAAAACTGTTCCAATCCATATACCCCAAACCTTCCTCATTCCCACTCACTGCAGTCCTTTTGGTTCTTGACCGGCCAGCCGAGGAAGGGCATGGAGTCCCAGGAGTGGGAGCCGCTGACTTGCCATGCACTCTGCTGGTTGGCCAACACTCGGTAGTCCGCACTCATGTAGCGCATGAAGGGACTGGCTCCCACAGGCGCATATGACGCCACAGAGAGAGTCAGACCAAAGGCTGAGCAGGAAAAGTGGGTTTGCAGAAAAGGAGGAGAGATGAAAAGACATGTGGGTGCTTGCTCATGTCTCGTCTCCATGGGTTGTTCTTTTGAAATCGCTGAAAAAAAGGGCAAGGCAGAGAAAGAGAGTGCGCTATGCATTGCACAATAAAAACAGCATTGAGTGCTGGAAAAAGAGACCGAATGACACTTATGCAGAGAGGTGACGAGAAGGAAAACTGTTTTTCAAGCATGTCTTCCTGGGATCGGGTTGATCACCTGGAATGATGTCTACCGGCTTGCGTGGAGCTGGAAGGCCTGCAGAAAAGAGAAGGACGAGGACATACAGGCATGGCAGCCATAACTCATCAATTTGACTCAAAGCATACTGAAAAAGGAGCATATCACCAGTTCATCCTCCTCCTCACCATCACCATCAGCATCACTGTAATGATCACCATGAGCATCACCACCACTACCACCATTACATTAGAGCTGCTTTTACCTGTGTGAACTCCTGACTTGAGGATGAGATGCATCTGGAACGGCTTCACAGTGGTGGACGCCACGAAGCCAAAGTAGAACGCCTGCTGCTCCGCTCCAGCCTGCAGCACCTCACACAGCGCCAGCCTCCTCTCCAGCAGCGGCTGAGCTGGCTTCACCTCCGTGGCAGCCAGGAACACCTGGATGGTGCCGGGCTCCCCAGGCTCATAGTCCACCCACGCCGTGTATGCCTTTCTGTTGGTCAGCTGAAACGGCGACTTCACAGCGGCTATTGACTGGTCCTGGCCTTGAATGTTCAGCCCCACGTGCGGGGTGCTCATGTCGCCATGCAGCTTGTCCCGCAGCGTGTCAAACTCAACCGCCATGCTGCGGGTGTCCATGCCACCATACCCCACACCAGATCCATTCCCCACCCGGTCCGTTGCCGAGACGACAAAGGCGAAGCCGTTGTTGCCAGCACGGCCGGATTGAGGGGCGAGGGAGAAGGTGAAGTTGGCCCGGAAGGCGAGCTGCACTCCACACCCCGACACCACCTGTCCCGCCCCGTACACAAACAGAGGCACTGGATCCGCGGTGAATTCCCCCCCCGTCTCCTTCTGCGTCCCTTTGGTGAGCACAGTTGTTGGCGGGACAATAGACAAGCAGACTGAAGTACTGTTGGTGCTGCCCGAGGTACTGTTGGTGCTGCCTGAGGTGCTGTTGGTGCTGCCCGAGGTACTGTTGGTGCTGCCCGAGGTACTGTTGGTGCTGCCCGAGGTGCTGTTGGTGCTGCCCGAGGTACTGTTGGTGGTGCCTGAGGTGCTGTTGGTGCTGCCTGAGGTACTGTTGGTGCTGCCCGAGGTACTGTTGGTGCTGCCTGAGGTGCTGTTGGTGCTGCCCGAGGTACTGTTGGTGCTGCCCGAGGTACTGTTGGTGCTGCCCGAGGTGCTGTTGGTGCTGCCCGAGGTACTGTTGGTGCTGCCCGAGGTACTGTTGGTGCTGCCCGAGGTACTGTTGGTGCTGCCCGAGGTGCTGTTGGTGCTGCCTGAGGTACTGTTGGTGCTGCCCGAGGTACTGTTGGTGCTGCCCGAGGTGCTGTTGGTGCTGCCCGAGGTGCTGTTGGTGCTGCCCGAGGTACTGTTGGTGCTGCCCGAGGTACTGTTGGTGCTGTCTGAGGTGCTGTTGGTGCTGCCTGCATACATGCCGGCCACACAAGCATTATTATAATGGATGAGAGGAAATCTGAGAATTCCTAATCATGGCAGATGATGATGAAGTGAGGCGTCTTGAGAGCAATAGCAGTGCAGTGATATATCAGACGAAGGGTGTAATGCAGTGACATGGCAGGGCACACGCATTCGCATCCCTTGCAGAAAGAGTGCCCATGCCATGTTCCACCCCTACTGCATCTGCCCCAATTCTGTGTGTGCTGCGACCAGGGAGCTCCCTACCGTCAGCCACGCAGTTGAAAATTCCAGATTGGATGTACCCCGCATCGCATAGACAGGTTGGGACCAGGGTAACTTGGTCTGGAACGCACACCCCTCCTCCACCACAAGGAGCAGCAGCAGCAGCTGCAGTGGAGACGCCACAGAATGCATTGCATGCTGCTTCCTGCCGCTGCACCACATTAGTGCAGCCAGACGAAAGTGTGAAGCAGTTGCTATCGAAATTGAGAGCCTGGCATGTCCCGTTGGGCAGAGGACCATAAAGAAAATTGCTGGAGAGGCGCAGGGTGCTGATGGCGGGCAGCGTGATGGGGCTGGCAAGGTAGTTGCTGGAGAGGTTGCTGGGAGAAGGAGAGGAGAGGGGGAGCGAAAGAGAGACCCAGGAAGTGAGGAGGATAAGTGTTTGCAAAGTAATTAAGCAGATTATCACCTCGCCAACAGGCAAATTGATCCAAGATGTGTAATCCTGGGGAGTTTATTCATGGGCCATCGAATTGAAATCACTGGAGCCCATGGCTTGCAACAAACCAATCATTGTGCCAGAGGCTGACAGTAGTAACTACGCTGAAGTATTTGGTGCGGAAGTACTGATGAAGAGGCTTATGGTGCAAAGAGTGGTGTGGTGGCTTACAGAAAGGTGAGGTGTGTGAGCTTGGAGAAGCTGTCAGGAATGCGGCCGTACAGCTTGTTTGAGGCAAGACCCCTGAAGCCCATGTGGTGGTGGAGAGACAGGGCGGAAAAAAAAGAGAGAATGGCCAGATTGAGAACGCTTGGAGCCATGTGAGGCCGGCACATGTTTGCATTTAGGGTGTGAAAGAAAGCACATGGGCTCCTGATGGTGTCAGGAGGAGATTATGGTGGAGCGGGCAGGAGAGAAAGAATCGCGTGTGTGAAAAGCAGACTCATCAGCATCAGAACGCGCAGAGACGCTTTGCTGGACGAGAAACTGCATTGGCGGAGTGGGTGCCCACCTACATGATATTTCAGCTTCATGATCGACCAAAATCCTTATCAACAATCAGAGCAGTGTAACGCGCAGAGAAGCTTTGCTGGATGAACTTCATATTGCAGCTAAGTTGCTGGGCACTACGTACATGACAGATAACTTGGTGAGGGAGCCGATTGAGTCAGGGATGAGTCCATAGAGCTGGTTGCGAGACAGTGATCTGATTGTTATAAGGATTTGGGTCGACAGGGAGAAGGTTAGTCCAATAAAGTGGCACGAAAACGTTCATATCTCTTTTCTCCAAATGGTGGTGATGACACAGAGAGAAGGGTGTGGGATTGAGACGAAGGGGGAAGAGGGGATTGAGGACAGGGGCAAGAGGAGGAAAAGTATTTGATGAAGAAAGGAAGTGCTTTACAGGGATGATAGTCTTGAGAGGGAGCTTATGGCGGATGGAATAGAGCCAGTGAGCTGATTGTTGTCAAGAACCCTGAGAAGAAAAAAGGGTAATTGGAGAAAATATTTAGTTGAGTCAGGTCAGGCGACAGGTAATCTTTTTTTTTTTTTTTTTTTTTTTTTTTTTTTTTTTTTCGGGGATGTACATGGAGGTATAGCCTCTTTGAATGCAACAGCACAAGGAGAGGCAGCAGCCAGTAATCGGACACGTATGCAAAGTAAAAAATGGTTTCTCTCGCTGTCTCCTCTCTTCTTCCTTTCCACGTTCTTCCATAATGCTCTTTCCTGCCTCCGTAGGCCCTCTATGGCAAGTTACCGAACATACTCGTGCAGCTCCCTCCACAGTTCAAGCTCAGGCCTTGATGTGCGCTTCAGGCAATTCTAAAATTGCTTGCCCTTAATAGCACTTCCCACCGATTTTCCAAGCTCAGGCCTTGCTGCCCCCTCAGCAACTTCAACACAAAACTCTTGGATCCCTCGCTACATCCACCCCAAAAAAACTGTCACCACATATCCAACTACTCAATATTTGGTGACATTGGTAAATAAATTATTCATGAATGGGTGCAGCCAGGCTGTTGTAGAGTAGAGGCAACATGAGGAGGAACCGACAAAGCAAGAGACGGGCCCCAGAGTTGAGAAGAGATGGTGAAGCAGCAACCCTGTTTGCTTGGTACAAGAATGTAGATGCTACAGATTCGACTAGTGATGCTTGCAGGCCTTGCGGATGCTAGGGGGATAGTGAAGACAGGGGAGTGTAGGCCCGGTAGTGACATAATCCAGATGCTCAGGCTTGATGGTACTACCAAGTGTGAAGTTTTGATAAAACTAGACAGTACAAGAGCATGCATAGCCCCACAAGGGGCAGTTAGGCTTACAAACTGGTGAGCGCTGTAAGTTTTGTTATCGAGGACGGCAGCGACCCTGACAACATGTTCGAGTAGAGATACCTGTTGACATTGACAGCAAGGGAAGTATGAAAGGGGGGGGAGGGGGAGGTGTACACGAAGTTTAGACGAGAGCAAGACACGGAAACTACTTCGAGCACAAAATCCTTGGCCAGTTGTGCTATGAAGAATCATGAGTCCTTGTGCCCCAGCTGAGGCACAGGTTTAGGTCTCTAGCCACCAGCCAAAGGCCAGCTGGACTTGGAGTGTGTGCAAAGTGAGGTGCAAGCAAGACACTTGCTTGAGTGGGAGTGCGATCCTGGCACCCAGATAGAATAATCCAAAGAAACAAGCTCAGAGAAGGATGCTGCTTTTCAATTGGATTGATACGAAACTGGAGGACACCAGGCAGTGCAAGGTGGAAAGTGGAGCGGGGAGAAAAGAAAGAAGAGGCGAGGCCTTACACGGAGCCCAGAGATGTCAGGCTGCCAATGGTGGCAGGGATAGAGCCGTTAAGTTGATTTTTGTGTAGATACCTGTGATTGAACCAGGGTGATGTTTGTAAACACAAAACAAAACAGCCCACTTATTGCTATTGGTCACAAAAAATAACGGCCATGGTGTTAGTGATAGCAATAAGACCCATTGATTACCATGGCCTCATGAGTTCAAAGTGAGTACAGCAGGCATCGAACAGAATGTAATGGCTGTCAATAGCCTGGCAACCGGTGTGTGTGAGAACAGCTGTGAAAAGTTGTTCAGTAAACGACAACGTTTCTAATCATACAAATGACGTGTTCCTCCAATTTCCTCTGAAACACACTCTCAAGGAGTTCAGAGGTGTGCGATGACAAGGCTACAATGTGAGTGAGAGCACTGATGAGGTATGTTGCCTTGAAGCTGATTGGTCAAAAGGTCTCTATGTAACGAATGGGATGGCAGAAGTGAAAAAAAAAAAACCCAACAGTGGTACGAAGCATAGAAGCATGGCATGAGGCATGGCAGCACATTATGCAACGAGTGAGGGGGCGAATGAGGGCACGATAGAAGGGAGACTCCAGTGAGAAAGAAAAGAATGAAGGCGAGAAGTCTTACAGAATTGCCAGTGACTCCAGGGAGCCCATTTCAGCTGGGATAGAGCTGGTGAGCTGGTTCGTAGATAACGATCTGAGAAAGAAAAGGGCAGACAGCGCAGAATGCCAAAGGAAGGTTAGAGCCCTCAGAGGCATGAATGCACACATGCACATGGAGGCACCCGAGACAAAGACTGGTGCATGCACGCGTCACGTGCATATGGGAGAGTAAACTACTGTTGTTGCGTCAGGTGAAAGTGGTGCAAGATAAGAGAAATATTTTAGACTAGGACACAAACGATTCCTGTTTCAAACGCATGGTGGATCACTTCACTTCTGGGATGCACAGACTGCACATTCATGTAGCGCTGAACTGGTACACATAACACCAAAGTGAGTGAACCACCAGGTGTTGTATCTCACAGGTAGGACAATTTGGTGAGAGCACTCAAGCTAGCAGGAATGCTGTCTGAAAGCTGGTTGTCGGAAAGGTTTCTGAATGAGACCATGGTGGGTGGGGTTGAAACAGCCGGGAAGAAATGAATGAGAATGAGGACCCTACAAACCACCACTGAGCAGGAAGGAGTCTCTCTGGAGGAGCAGCCTCACTGCGAAGCAGCATCGGATAGGGCAGGCCCTCTGGCCTGGCACCCCATTCTAAGGCATGTATAGGAAATTCATGTTGGAAGCAGGTAGAGTTCTGTGTGATTGATGTGTTGTGTGGGCATGAACACATTATGTAACCAGACTTGTTTTGATTTTAATATCTTGATCTCAAGGTAGAAAACCAAAGCCAGCATTTTTTAATCCAACTGCATACACAGCTGTCCAGATCCGAAGTGACAAGTGTACAGGGTCCCACAAACAGGGTCCCACAAACAGGGTCCCACAAACAGGGTCCCACAAACAGGGTCCCACAAACAGGGTCCCACAAACAGGGTCCCACAAACAGGGTCCCACAAACAGGGTCCCACAAACAGGGTCCCACAAACAGGGTCCCACAAACAGGGTCCCACAAACAGGGTCCCACAAACAGGGTCCCACAAACAGGGTCCCACAAACCGGGTCCCACAAACAGGGTCCCACAAACAGGGTCCCACAAACAGGGTCCCACAAACAGGGTCCCACAAACAGGGTCCCACAAACAGGGTCCCACAAACAGGGTCCCACAAACAGGGTCCCACAAACACGGTCCCACAAACAGGGTCCCACAAACCGGGCTGTGATGTCTGACATATACTCATGAAGGATAATGTGAGTGCATCTCACATGATTGCCAATCGAGTGAGTCCACTCAAGCTCCCAGGGATGCTCCCTGAAAGCTGGTTGTCCGAGAGATCACTGCGAGACAGGCATGCAGGGCAGAGGACGAACGGGCGAGTGACAAGAAGTGAGGAGAACAAAACTGAGGGGCGGAGAGATGCACAGGATGATAATGGGGTGTGTGTAGGAGAGGAAGGGCAAATTATGGCACGGATGGGCTAGTGTGACAAAGGGTGGGGAAGGGAAATGAAGGGACACGGTGCAACACGTTTGTGGTGTTGTAATGTTCTATTACTACATACATATGCTAGAATTGTTTAGGTGAAGGTTGTTGGTTGTACCCTCCACAAATTGTGGTTGATTCTTGGTTGAATAAGGGCAAACACCAAGGATCAGGCGAAACAGGCAAATGAACATTTACGGATGCACATGTTTCAAAACGCAGATCCCATTACCTGTAGGCCCTTGGTTTGGGCGGCAATGGGGCTCAATGACGGATTTGTGGGCTTGTGTGGCAGGCGTGCAACAATTTTTGGGTCGGATCTGGGCAGCCAGCTTATTACAACAGGCCTTAGCTAGGTCTATGCCAGGTGTGAAGTCTTCTCATGACGAGCTAGCTGGCAGCATGAGAGGAAAGGCAGTTAATCCAGAAGGAGAGAAAGGGCAGCACTCACAGGTTAACGAGGTTGAGCAGAGAGCCAATGGATGGAGGGATGGGGCCGGAAAGATTGTTGGAATTAAGAAACCTGAGTGGCATGCAGTGGCATAGCACGCAGTGCAGTGGATTCAGGGTACACCTTTGAATGGTAAGAAGCAATTGCAAAAGGATGAATTTGTGTGAGGCAAAAAGGATGAATTTGACAGTTGATAGTGTTTGGAATGGGTCCAAAGAGCTGGTTAAACGGGGGGGTTTATTATTTTCCAAACATTTCGGTTCAGTTAGGCCAGGGTTAGCCGAGCTGTGCCGGATTTCTAATGCAAGTCTTAGGATTTGGGTTCAACAGTAGGATGTTTGACTGGAAACCAGCACATCACAGTTAGTGTTGGTGTTTATTTTTGGTAGGCAAAGCAAGTAATTACGAGTTTGCATTGGTTTTGATTCTTTCCCATGCCCATTCTGCTCTACCAAGTCCAACTCCAAACCGAACCTGAACATGTGAGTCCCAAACA